ACGGGACGCACATAAAAATAATTGCGCCATCAAAAGATGAGGACGTGTTCGTCAATAGAAAGAAAGTACATTCCATCAACACGCAGATTGTTTTCATTCATCATGATAGGGGGACTTGAACGGCGGTATGGGCTGTTATTGAAATTGTTTAAGTGCTGGAAATATGCTCATTGGATAATAGTTTGCAGGGTGCTTTTAATTGCCTCCTTGATTTAATGCAATTTACGTGTTTTTATTGTTTGCTCTCTCTCTTTAACGTGCATATACAACGTCATTATCGTGGTCTGCACAAACTTGTCATCATGCGTGTATTCTGCTAACTGCACTGTCCATAACTATTTGATAGGAATACATTTCTAGCCGAGGCTATTTCCTTGTTTTTCGGTGATTTAGTGGGCTCGTTTGTGGGATGTTGAGGATGAGTTTCACCGAGACCGCCTACTCTGAACAACCAATCACCGTACTGACCGCTTCTAAACTCATGCACGAGAATCGACGTCATCCATAGCAACGGCGCGTCACTCTTAGTTCACTCTTAGTGATTTATCCTTAGTATGAGTAGGTCTCAGCGGCTTTGTGAATAACTTTTAAGAAAAAACTCCTACGTAAAATGTTTTAGCGCGAGTTAGGAGCGCTCCTAGCGGTAAGATAAAATGCTTTGTGAATACGGCCCCAGATCTTGGCTTGATTCTGTGGTTTTCTGTAGCACTCATTTTGTAGTTGGCATCTTTCCTAAATTGAACTAAAGTATATTTAAATTATGTTTATTTCGATGCATCAAATGTGTTACAACCTTGCAAAAAAAAAAAATACTAAGTAGGGCTAAAATGCAATTTCATTTAAAGTAAATCATGAAGGTGCTCCATAGTCAGTGTAACTGGAAACTATGACAGCACCATTATTTATGCCATGTTTTACTTGGTTGTGGAAACATTTTGTGATTCATAGTTGGTCTTTCAAACAAACATCCCATGAGCCAACAGAGTTAGTCAGTCATTTCATATCAGTACACCAACTCCAAAGCTGATTCTCTCATTTCAAACTTAAAATCTTTTGTTTTCACACAGTTCTAGGGTAGATTGTGGCAAAAACTGTACCAAACCTTTATTTCTTTGCTCAATTCTTGCTTTAATTAACTGTGTCTGAGTCAGGAAAACAGGACTATTACTGTCAATAAGTTCTGTGGAGAAGGAGATGTTTTCAATGGCTGTGGTGGGCTCAGATGAAAAACAGCTGTGTTTTGTTGTTGTTGTGAAACTGCAGGCAGTCTTATGGAGACGCGCTGTGTGAGTTGTGGACACGTGGCTGTCAACAAGCGGAGCCCCATATGTGCTGCCCTAAAGGACAAAGGGTAAAAGACAGCCCCTCTGGAGTAAACACACACTGATAAACATGCAAGATGTATAGCCTGAGCTCTTCAGTTTGACCCACATGTGTCATTTACCCCACTGTGTTTGCTCTCTTACTGTACAGCGCACCTGACGCAGATGTTGCTGATGCCCAGATTCCTGTGGATAAACTACCAAGGTGGGATTACCGTCACTTCATATTAACGACTCTTTGGTCAGATTAACTTTCCGACTGATCATTGTTCTTAGGTGGAGTTTAACTGGGACATGGGTATCGTCATTAATCTGAGTTTAGTGATTTTAGACAAAAAAAACATCAGTGACCTGTGGCAAGCATAACATATATTTTTCTTTGCCTCTCTGGCCTTCATGACTTGGTTGTATCATGCTTTGTGGTGACCTGGGAATTAACTCAATTCCAATGTTATTGATATGGCAGCCAGGGCTTCCACATGGGGGCAGTAGTGAGCTATGAACATATTGGCTTTCTAGCAAAGGTTGCTAAATAAAAGCAAATAATAAGAGTTACACACTGCCAACTAAAAGTAACCTTGATATGACAACAAACACATGTCCGCTGCTTCATTGTTTTTCATTGATTTTAACCATCAAGCATGTTGCATGCATGGCTATACAATCAGGGAAATTAGTGACGTATGTGTGGATTTAGACTTGTGCGGAATAAAACAATGAATCGTCTAAGGACTGTTTGGTGCTGCTGTATCAAGGTGTGGCGAAAGAGACTGCCGCGGTCTTCTGAGACCCAACGTGGTGTTTTTCGGAGAAACCATGGACTCTCATATCCTGACCAAGGTGGAAGAACAGATGGAAACCTGTGATCTCTGTCTGGTGGTGAGTCATCCTTTTTTTTTTTAAGTGGATACATGTTATATCTTCCTCCTGTGTAATATTAGTAGGTAAACAAATATTTTGTCAAAATTGATAAAAGACTGTACCATTTTATTACTATACTGTTAAGTAGATTTCAAGTTGACACTGGTGTTTTTCTCTCCCTGTTGTTAACCTGTAGGTGGGCACATCTTCCATTGTTTACCCAGCAGCCATGTTTGGGCCCCAGATTGCTTCAAGGGGTGTCCCAGTGGCGGAATTTAACACCAATACAACTCCAAAAACTGAGTACTTCACGTAAGTTATTCACAAAACTGAATTTTCTATATTTAACCAAGTTGTTAGTTAGTAAGCTAAAAGTGATATTTAGTGCCATCCAGTTAAAGAATAGGCAATATCCAGAACCTTGAATCAATAAGTTACCTTTACCCTTTTAACCTAAAATTCTGACCTTGTTTTTTCTGTGTGATGTGGCTCAGGTTCCACTTCCAGGGTCCATGTGGAACAACGCTTCCCCAGGCTTTGGCGCAACATGAATCGGAGGGTATTTAAGTTTGTAAAAATAATTACTTTACAAACAGTAACCAGCGGCTTCTTCTACATACTAATGCAATCAAAGGCTCGTGGGTGGTGCATAGCATTATTTTTCTTCAAATGTTTGCCTTACAATAAGTTGTTTATCCTTGGTAGATGGAGGGTTAAGCTTAGAATTTAGCTTGTTTGAACTTGGAGATGGATATCTTAATACTTGAATATACTGTATAGCTGGATAAACTGGAAATGGGGTTTTGTATGTTTTACATATTTACTGCTTTGAGTTAGGCAGGAGCTATGCAGTTTGGTATACCATAGGGAATGCACTATGTGTAGTTATTTGCATTGGATATTGTATCCTGAGATATTAGAGGGTATTACTATTCCAATATAATGTTGCGTATAAGATGCTGGTGAGGAATTGTCCTATTTTGCTGTTTATCAAAACAAATGACTTCTGATGCAAATGGAGAATATTCATTGTTTCTCTACTGAACAGAACCTAATCTTGTGCCTTTCAAAACTGTTTACACAACCTTGACCAAAGGCTTGCTTTAAACCTTTAGTGCAAATCAACCAATGTTACAGTTTCAGAGTTTGCTTTGACCAAGGACAGAGAAGGTAGAGAGGGGGAAATGTTCTCTGTTCAATCCTAGCCTGATGCCGCATAAACTCCTTCTCATGCTGTTTGTAGGAAATCAATAGGTACATGTCATGGGTTATTCAAAAATAGATAGTGTTTTTTGCTTTTTCAAATATATGTTTAACTGTTGATAGATAAAAATGAAAGCAATCACATATTTGATAACCCTAACGCTGCCTTTAAGCATCACGCACAATTCCTTGATGTTGATGAAAACTTCCAATGCAATAATAGAGAATGTTATTATTAAAACACTAAATGTACGTTGGCTGTTATTGTGTTTTATTATCTGCATTAATAAATAATTGTTCCTTTTTTTTTGTGTGTATGTGCCACAAATGAACAGTAGATGCCAGCATGTAGCTTTCTATCCTAGGTTATACAGTAACTCAACACTATTGTATCCAGTTTTTCTCTTGGTATGCATGAGTGAGAGGAAATGCAGACTCAAGCACCCTGAGGCCAGATTTGTTACAGCTGAGGCGAGCCGAGTACAAAGTATGAGCCTCAATCATAATGCTGCTGAGGATGGAAACAGTCTGAAGTGAAAAGCAGTCTATGACACAATGGGGCATTTGTTGCCCCAGCTTTTCTCTTACATGGATGTCGATACCTTTTTATGTTTCCATAGTATTATTTTTGGAGGGGGTTGTTTAAATTAGACATTTTAAACAAGTTCAAAAATGTGGTTTATTCGGTTTTAGATTATTTATTTTTTCTAGATTGTGGCTCAGTGTTACCAAATCTGTTTGCCTTGCTACAGCTTCAATCAAACTTTTGACAATAAGTAATCGCTTACATACAGCTCTGAAGAAATGAAGAGACCCCTGCAAAATGATCAGTTTCTCGGTTTCTCTATCCTTCAGAGGTCATGTTGTGGTCCCATAACTCGCTGAACGGTCTTCACCAGCTGTTGCAGATCTTTCAGGTGTTTCCTTGTGCAGCAGTAGACCAAGGCCGTTTCTCAATGTCGAGTACACATGCTGCAGAGCCACTATTTCAAGTATACTACGTCATCGAGTGGCGCCGAAGGACTGTTTAAATGCATGCATGTTTCATGCCCAGCATTCTGCGCCACTCTGACGTAGTATACTTGAAATAGTGGCTCTGCAGCATGTGTACTCGACATTGAGAAACGGCCCATGACACTGTTGATGGTGGCACAGACGTGTATCATCAAGGCAAAGAATCCAACTCCTTAAGCATTTATCTTCATTGACTGACTGGACTAACATGGTTAAGTCACCCAGTGGAAATGAGAGATGTAGGGCTAGGAGTCATTAAAATTACCCATGGAAGGTTATGTTCATTAGACAGTGTTATGATAATGTGATGATAGTCGTAAAGGAATTATCTCAAGAGAGCTACACTGACTACGTGTTTGAGCGATAGGGACACAAACACACACACACACACACACACCCACAGGTATGTGATCCATCTTCAGTATCTCACGGGAGTCGAGCTAATTTCATGCCCACTGTAGTTTCAGTCCTCACGTTATTACATTTTTAGTACACACAGAATTGCCGGACCAAACGCACCACACATTTGTTCACATTGGTTAAAAAGCACGTGCTGCCCTCAGGTTGTATTCCTCTTACTGTATGGCGCCTTACCACTTGCTTTTTCTGCTCAACAACTGGATCCAAATCAAATCCCTTTGTTTAAAACTATACCTTCACCTGTTAATGAACATACTCATCATCATTGCCATGATTAGATTTCCTCATTTCCTTGTTTATCACTGCTGCTTGTCCTTCAAGGGGATGTAAGGCCAAGTCCCATTTGTCATCAGGAAAAAAGGTACATTGAGGAGCACTTAAGATAAATCTCCGCCGTCTGATTTGGTAATTTCTTGAACTGATGTGAACAAGGCATTCAGAGAGCGGACAACTCTGCTCCCAAGTCCTGTAGCTCATTCATGAACGCAGTTGGTAGGGATGAGACAGAAGTGGAAATGTTGTTGTCTGACCCAAAAAAACGTGAACGAAACGTGAACATTACAAATATTTTATTTATTTTAAAAACAGGTGTAAACATATTTTATGAAAGGAAATGGAAAGCGTAGACATAAGCAAATGTGCTTCAGTATTTTAGAAAAAAAAGGGATTGTTTTACAGTGTTGTCCAGGTTAAGTGTTTGATATAATTTGTTTCTGTTGTGTATGACATAATATAACCAAACCATAAACATATGTTTAAACATTTTCAATTAACAGATGGGCTTCCAAAATAGTTTGGATTTAAAAAATAAGCGTAGCCTATTTAATTTGGTTGCAGAGGAAAATAGAACAACAAAGGCTTAGTTGTTTTCTATTTATAGCAGATATCAATTCACTGCAATGGAGGCTGGGGCTTGTCTCACGTGTGTGTGTGCATACACACACACACACTGCTAGCAACACGTACTAAGCTTCTCATCGTCTCCTGTTCTTAACCTTTCCTTGAACTCTTTGTGCAAGAACTGGCTGTGAAACCAAAGGTCTACTGCTAATCCCTCACTGCCATGAGAACCATCGTAATTTATAAGTAGCAAAAGCACTAATCACATCATTCATTGAAGGACCCACTTTTCCACCCTACAATGTATTTTGTGTTGTTTTATTTTTGGTCTTCTGTTCCACAAAAGCCTGATATCCCCACAATGAACACGATATGAAAAACAGTGATCCAGATATGTCTTTCTCCATATCTCCGACATTTCCTTGATTTATACTGATACTTCGAGGTAGCCTGATGGAGAATAGGGGCTCAGGTGCAAGCTAATCTGCTCTTTCCCTACACTCATTAGGATCAAGGCCAGCAACCACTTTCTCCTGGTTATTGATCACCAGAGAAGTATTTGACTCTATATGAGGACAGCAGCGCAGGCATACTTTAGAGGAGCCTGTTGAATCCTGTGTGTGTCTTTGAAATTCAATATCCATTTCGTATTCAACATCAGGCCTTTTTTAAAGTGTTGTTGAATCTCATCTGTTATGTCTCCAATCAGCTTGTGTTCGATTGTCTCCTAGATCTGTAACTCTTTATCTGACCCTATCTTACCCACTCAGTATTTATTGTATACATAGGTGTCGGTTAACCAGCAGGGAAGGCCTCTCCTGTTGTCTTAGCTTTTCTATCTTTATTTCTGCCATCATGTCTCTCTTACTTTCTCTCTTTCTCATTTCACTTAGCTTGAGATAGGCTTTGCTACATACAGTACACTGTTTCCAAAGCTATTTCCCTCACCAAGTAAATTACTGAAATGTGGTGTCTACGGAAAATCGTTACAAACTCAGGAACACAACTAATCAGATCCTAGAGGTTTTAAACTTTCCTCCAAAGTCAGACAAAACTATCTGGAAGAGAAAACAAAGCAAACATGGTTACCAAGACCTACACTACATACGTGTGCACACACCCATATTTCCTGTGTGAAGTGGGATTCTTACCGACATTTAGGGAATTTTTACTTTTGGCAAGTGTTGGCTGTGTGATCATCTGACTGAATATGTTTTTAGTTAATGCTGTATTTTCTGACCGCAGCAACACAATGGTATTAGAATTCTAAAAATAAGGCCTAAGTTGTGATAAATGATCATTAGTTCCATAGTTTTACATTTTGATTTGATCTTTCTTTCACCACTAGCTCTGATGTTGTAGTAGAGCTGATTTCAGTGCCTATAGGTAGTAATTAGAGCAGTGTTAAGCTTTATCAGTTAGTGAACTCTCTCTCTCTACCTCTCTCTACCTTAATGTTTCTGCATCCAAATTCATTGATGTACGTACTTTGGGAGCCAGCTATTGTGGGAGGAGACAAGACACATGGACTTGACGTATACACTTAAACACACACATACGCACATAGATTAGCTTAAACATTGCCTCTCCCCCAGATTACTGGAACTATCAGAAGCTTTAAGAGGATTTCACAATGGGGTGGGTGTATCACTTGAATCTCATGCACCTGATGGCTATTGATCCACCCTAAGCCTTCAAACAGACACGTGCAATAACAGCCACAGTTGCCCCTGACCTTGTGTTTTTGTAGTGTTGTTGGAGGTTGGGCAGTGTCTTGCTTCTTTGAAGTTAGGTCTAGAGAGCAGTACTTTCAAATAGCACAGTCCTATAGACAGTGTCTCTATCATAAATATGAAGTTGTTGGATGGAAAACATCCAAACAGTATTGCAAACGATACAAAAAAGGAATAAAAAGACAAATAGATAGATAGTTAGATAGATAGATAGGTACTTATTGATCCCAATTTGGGAAATGTTTGCTTTGCAGCAGCATAAAAAACACAAGACAATGTACATAAGATAAATGAAGACACAAGAAATAAACAGTCCAACATATTTCAGAAATAGAAATAACATAGCATTACATATTAAAAAAAGTTAAATAATATTACATTAAAAATATATATACAAGTGGAAATACAAATTTCCAGTAACAAATATAATGTAACAAATGTAATGCAGGATACTATTGTGCAACTACAAGTGTGCAAATACAAACCGCTTTTCTAATATAGTCTGCAGTTCAAATAAATGTGTCCATGAACAGTATAGTCTAGCTGTCAGGTTTATTAGCAATGCTGATGTGAGTGGAATATTAGAAGGGGGGTGTTGTCTTTAATAGAGGAGACGCTGAACGAGTCCCTCAGATGTGTAGGTTGATAAGCAAAAGGTTGTAATCAGCAAGCTGTCATGTGAGAAGACGGGATAATATCAGGTAAACTGTTTAGGGAAAGGCAGGAGCTGCACCAGGAGTACATGGTTATACTTTATATATTATGTCTAACTGTTCTAATCCTTAAAAAATATGTAGAATACAATAATTGGTCAATGTCCCTTTACAATATAATAACTAGCTATGAACCTTTTTTTAACTTACCCTGAAAAGGAAATAGGTGTTGTTTCAATATGACAAACAACATAATGTGTTCACTAAAGGCTACTTTAATTATTTAATTGTATTTCACACAGCATTTGCCTTCCCAGAAGTCTATTGTTTAACCTCTCATACAAATTATTATGGAAAGAATGCAAGATCTTTAGGAAGGAAGTATATTTAAGATCAGAAGCTGGATAATGTAATTGATTTGTTAAATCCTACATGGCATAATTCATCCCTGGCCCTGAAAACGATTTCTTAGGCCACTGGGTGGGGCTATGTTATTTGACCTACAAATCTAGATTAATTTAGCTGCTGATCACAAATGTTAAAAACAGAACACACTACATATATCTGATTATGACAGATGCTTTTGTTTCTTTTTACTGAGGATATAGAAAGCAAAACAGCATTAACACGCTATTCAAGTTATGTGTTGTCATATTTCTATGTGCAATGCTTTAGAAAAATCATTAAAAAAAATATTATTAGAATACATGACAAACAGATGACCTGTGTGAGATCAATATTTGGTTGTGTGAGGTTCTTAAAATGGAGTCGAAACCCGGTCACTGACCTTGTTGACCCTGAACTGTCAAGTGCATCCACAGATGAATTATGTTTGAATCATGCACTCTGTGGACACATAGCTTCTCCATGTGTCTGTTGTGACCCCAGAGGGGACAAATCATTGGCTGTCGGGAATGAAAGATAAGCTTGTGGATTTTTTCCCCAAGACCACTTTTGATTTGGTAATTATGTGTGTATTATGTTTTCAGCCCTGACAAATGGAGTTCTGCAGGTTCCGGCTCAAGGCTGAATTTGGACTCATTCCTTTTAAGTGTATGTGAAAAATTACTGGTTTGTGGCCATATTTGATTTATACTTTCTATTCTATTTCATAACTAAAGGAAAATAAACATATTCATCACCACGTTATGGATCTCATAAAGCTTATATATTAACACCAAGTTCTCCATCTGTTGTAGTTTTCTTATCATAACAATATAGCCTTTTCAGGAACAGCGCACCTGACTGTGAAAAAAACGTGTTTTCTTTCTTAGCACATTTTAATTAAGGCTGACATCAGCTAATTCCCAACATGCATCGCCAGTCCCTCTTGGGTCTGGCTTGGCTGTTTCATTTGCTGGTGTTGAGCCAATGCGTCTGTTATTATAAGACCAGCAATGCCTCAACCACATCTGGACACTGAGAGAACTTGCCTGCTGCATCTTTTGAAAGAGAAAGAGGGTGACATTTCTCACTGCTTACTCCAAAAGAGAAGCCACATTTGAGACATGACCAGGCCTAACATGAAACTATTTTGGTAGCAAGCACTTTGCCAATATCTTTTATGTGCTATAGATTCGCTTTTTAAAGAGAAGCTTTACAACTGACATGTGGCGGAGAAGATTTTAATTGCTGCAGAGAGCTCAAGCTGTTGAGTCATCAAGCTGTTATTGAGGTAACAATTTGCAATGTAAATATGTAAGGTAATCTGCTGTTTAACACATTTAAGATGTTCAGAGTTTTAAGACTGAACATCTTAGAAATAGAAAGACAGATATAGAGGAAGTGAAGACTTTTCTTAGAGGCACGCAGCAGGGAGAAGGCTGCTGTCTCCTTGCCGGACGCCCTTGGAGTGCAGCATTATGGTGTAAACTCCCACAAGACCTGTCTTTGTTCTCAGTAGATGAGGACTAGCGGAGTGTGACCGTGCACTTACACCTGAAGCCATCAAAATCGGAGAGAATAACACTTTTACACCGTGTGATGCCTCTACTCTCATCCCCCAATGTCCCCCGCCACCAAAAAGGCCAAGAGGTCCCTTTTGGAAATACTGCTTGCTTTGCCACAAATGCAAATATACCATCTGTCAATCACCTGCTGTCAAACAAACTACAAACCTGCATGTGTAGATACATAAATGGCAATGTGAATGTCAGATTTCCATCTTGTTTCAATGCACAGTTTGACATTTGCATCAAAGGAATGAGAGATGTCTTGCGAGATTGAAAAACAGCAGCGCTCATTATTGAGATTAATTTAGGAGCTGCTACACAAGGAATATTGAAATATTGATCAGGTTATGACAGGAAATCAATGCCAGATTAATTGCACTCTGGTCCACAGGATATATATGACGATGCTATTTTGTCCCATTTGCATATCACCTCAGGCTTGTTACGGTCAGTGAAAGGGCAAACTACAGTATTAGGGTAATAAAGTCCAGTGCAAAGTGTCTAGGGTAATAAACTTAGATAAGACTAAAAGCAATGTGCCCTACATAATCTGTCCCACATCTCTCTCTCAGAGGAGCAGATAGATAACACGGAAAAGTGAGAAAGGCAGCCAGACCAGGGGGAAAGGTAAGGGCCAATGTTGTGGACACAAAATCCAGGAAAATTATTTCGCAAACTTGATCATGAACTTATAATTTATTGTTTTAAATCATTGTTTGGTATATACATTGTCATTACTTCCAAAATGACATATTAAAGGCCAAAATCACAATGATACTGCTTATTTTTTGCCTCTGAATTTGGTAGGCTGCCACATGTATGATATTCTAAGTTTCTATTTTCACTACACCCTCTCTCTCTCTCTCTCTCTCTCTCTCTCTCTCTCTCTCTCTCTCTCTCTCTCTCTCTCTCTCTCTGTTTACCTTTCAGACATGCTTAGAGTGAGATGAGTGAAAGCTAGGATACCAACAGCTGAGAAAGAGAGGGGAGCAGAAGGTGTGTGAGTGTTGTATAGCATGGTGGAGGGCTGGACTATGGGACCATCCATCTGTCACTTTCTTACACCCTCCTTGGCACTGACGGGTCATGGCAACGGCAGCCTGTGACGGATGACTAATCTTCCCTTGGTAATGATTAAGACACCACCCTCTGAATGCCAAGAGGGTGCTGATGGTGAGGGTGGCTGCCTCACTGGCAACACAGAAATCATATGATGAATGGCATGCAAGCATGTTATCACGTGTGTGCGAAGCAAACACATCAGCTGCCAGCTCAGTGAGAATTTCTGGTGAGAATTTCATGAATCATGGCCTGGAAACATTGATGTATTAGTTCCTTGTGTTCCTCTCATAAGTGAGTAAGAGACAGGAAAAGGAAGAGCATAAATGAATCAATATATGTGCATATTTAAACAAATTAGATTGCGCAGGCTGTAATGATGGAAACATGTCATGTGTAGGAGGGAAATAAAAGGATATTGCCATTATGGATGATGTATGCACTGTTGTGTCACATTGGTGAGGGGAGCTCTGCAGCTGCACCAGTCTAATCGTCTTGACTGTGTGTTGAGAAGCTGAGACCTGTCTTATCTTTACCTCATAATGCGCAGGCGTGATCCTATCTGAGCCTTGCAAAAAGCTTTTACCATCTGAACTAGACGTCGTGTGCGCTGCTCCTCATGTGGCGCTCAAACGAATGCTAAAAAAAAATCGATAGGTCTTTTTTTTCAGATCGCGTTCAAATACAGCCGGGACATGAAGGTTTCTGTGTTCGCTGATCTCTCCGAACAACACGATTCAACCTGTGGATAGAGTGGAGCGCGTGTGTGACCACCGGCCAGTCTCCGGATATCTGGGACTCTATAGCCCGCTGTGCAGCGCGCGTCTTTTCCCTGTTGGCTCCGGTCTGTGTTGGAGGAGGGATCCGGTGTTCCGTTTGACCTAAGCCGAGAGCAGGTATTCAGTTTATGAATGGCACTGACATGGAGGAAATACCGTTTCAGAAAGTCAAAACCAGGCGGAAGAGAAGTCACTGTCCAACGGGCGTCCCTTTGACCACCATCGCGTGTGAGGACGAGTTCGACTGCAAGGAGCTCGAGTCCCTGTTCCAAAACTACAACCTGAAGCTGGAGCAGACGTCCGCTCTAAAAGCCCTGGCCGTGCTCATCTTCATGTCGTCGACACTGGCCTTAGTGGAGTTGCTGTCCGGCCCCAGCCTCACCATCTCCAAGGGGTCCCATCCGGTCCACTGTGTCATCTTCGTCTCCCTGTTCATCGTAACTAATGTCAAGTACCTGCAAGTGACTCAGCTCCAACAGATCGTCAACCTGGCATTGCTCTTCGGCTTCACTTTCTCCTTTCTCTGCTGTCCCTTCTCGCTGGGCGCGATGGGGATGGAGCCCCCCACGTCCCCCGAGCAAGGCGTGTGGCAGCTCATCCTGGTCACCTTCGTCGCCTATGCGCTCCTTCCTGTGCGGACACTGTTGGCGGTTGTGTTTGGAATAATGGTCTCCGTCTCCCATTTGATTGTGACTGCCACTTCTGTCACAGCGAAAACACAGAAACTATGGAGGACGGTACGTATGTTCTGCACACTAACTACGGTGCCTTTTATTGTTTGTGTTGTATTGTTACAATCAATAGGCGTATTATGGTATTTAATTTAGCGTCGTAAATTAAATATCATACTAGGTATAATGTAGGCCCATGCAGTAAAACATTATTAAGACTTTATTTCAGTACCTAGGACAGTTCCCTTAGACTTGATGCATTTGCTTAGGCATTGATCAAATCAAACAAACGTGTATATTGTATACAAAATAATTGCTAGCTGGTGTCAACCCTGCCAATAGATCAGATAGAGTTATGAACCATGAAGAAGAATTTGAGGTGATAAATGTGATCTTAAAGTCTGGTGAAAAACAAAGTGATATTGAGATTCCACCTTTCTGCTTGATCAACTATTGTCGTCCTCCTTAGATACTGCAATATCACACCTTTAAATAAGTTCAGATGTCTACAGAGATTCTGTAATAATAAACTACGGTATAGCTATAGTAAACCTGATGTATACCTGTAGGTCCCTAAAATGAAAACAAACAAAGTTAGTCTGCATGCCGACTGTTTCCCCGGGGTGTGATTTCCTGGCTGGGAATCAGGAACCAGAGTGACATCCTGCCAGCACCAGAAGTAGGGCAAACAGAGTTGCCCACACACACATACACACACAACACACTTTAACCACACTATATGCTTCAGTTATGGAAAAGAGGGCAAAGTCATTCATGTCTTTCCTGAGCAAAAATAGAAATTGGTTCACCACTGTGTGTGTGTATATATATATATATATATGTATATATATATATATGTACCTATTTCACAAAAACATACACACTCGCAATTCTCACTGTCATCAGGTGTGAGGAAAGAAGATATGTCCCATCAGTCAAACCCTCCAGGGGTAGTGGAACATGTCTGCCTCTGTGCAGCATATGACATGAAGATTGTGCATTTTGTGGAAATGAAATGGCGATTTGATCAGTTCATCACACCCTCGGCGGATGACAGCGTATTTACAGAGGAGATTGTTTTCCTGTATGTAGGCTTTGAGTTACCTGCATTGCCATGTGAAGGACAGTGTTAGATGTACTACCAGAGATAGCTAATCCATTAAGCTTAGAGATGAGCTGTGTGGCATGACCCCACACGGCCCAGGCTCGCACCAACAGCCAACATAGGTCCCAGGCTCTCAGCAGACATTACCGTCTGCTCTCATGGCTCAGTCTATATGAAATGTTTTATCACCAAAGCTAGTGAGGGAAATTTCTTGAAAAATAGGTTATTACTATTTCTTTTGCCTCAGCTGTGAGTTTTGCTGACATCTAAATTCTCTCTGCCAAGAACAGGAACATTCCTAGAGTTCGGAGTAATACAATGGTATATGGCATTCATTTACAATCTTGCGTATAAAGCTTTGATTAGACAAGCAGAAAACAACAACACTGAACATCTAGATCTATCAATCGCATTCACAATACTATAGTGATATTTAAAGTAACAAGTCCCAGTTTGTCTTTTATTCCGCTGCCCATTAACATTATGGATTCTAACATGCACATAAAATGAAAGCTTTTTCAATGCAATGCTCCATGTTTAAATAATAAGAGCCAATGTAAAGTTTCCTCACTGCGTAAAACTATGGAGCTCTCTTACTGACATTGAATGGGTGACATAGCTCCAGAGATGAGTACAGTTTAATGAAGTCAGTTATTTCCCTCTGAAAGGCACATTTTGGTTATGACCACAGTGTTTTGCACCCCTCATCTCAGATGTCCAAATTTACCAACTCAAGGCTGTCAAGTAACTTGAGAATAATTTGAACATGCTGGTGCTTGCCAGTATTGATGCCAAGCACAAAGACAGACTGCTGCTGCCAATAACTCCCTTTTCAAAGCAATCCATTATTAATTGGACTGGAAAATATGCCTGTCTGTGGCAATGCAAGTTGTTATATTGAGTTTCTGTATATATCATCCGAAGTTTTGATAGTCTATTTATGTTGTTCAACATTTGTTTTAATAAGTGAACTGACTCAGTCCCTAGTCATAGATTTTTCTTGTGGTCAAATATGCTTCATCATGTGCTCAAGCCTGTGATGAATGACCAAAGATATGAAGGAAATGAATTCCTTTTATTCTTACGAAAATGTAATCCCTGCCTTGGATAACAGCTTGCTAGTGATGTGAATATAGTACTGTGTTTGGTTTGTTTCAAAAGTTATAGCAGGCCAACCTCACTCAAGTAGAAAAAAACTCTCTTTTCATTGTGTCCTGCACAAGGTTGAAGCAGTCATGCTGCTGTGCATCTGTTGTGATGGATGAACCACAGCAAGGCTTCTCAAACACTTTAATGTCACAGACTCCAAAATAGAGAAATATTGGGCCCCCCACCACACATCTCTCTTATGGCAGATGTCACAAACACTGTGCACTCAAAAGGTAATAGTTGGTAATAAGTGTATTATTCATACAACATTAAGTAACCCTGTAAGGAAAATTGCATGCCTGTCACCCAGCTCAACAGATACACACACAATAAATAGAAAAAATAACAAACTAAAGCAAATCTAGAAAAATCTTTCAAGAAACAAAATCTTAAAGATGCATTACTTAAAAGCGCAAACATGGGGAATTGAGATGTCTAGTTTTATTCTAGTTTATCCTCTCGAAAGCCCACTTGTGGTACCTAATACCCAGTTTCAGGACCTTATAATTAGGAAAATACATTCACAAATACAACTGTACATGCATATATGAACGTGTGCATATATGTGCATTTGAATAGCAATCAAATGACATGCTTAATTTGAGTATATACAATACATGAACACACCCAAAAAGATACACACCCAAACATATGTTTGAGTGTTAATCCTGCTACATATTTTTCTTCTGTTTGCAGTTGGTTGCCAACACGGTGCTGTTCACCAGTGTCAACCTGTCAGGGCTGTTTGTGCGCATCCTGACAGAGCGAGCCCAGAGGAAGGCCTTCCTGCAGGCACGCGGCTGCATCGAAGAGAGGCTCCGCATGGAGGATGAGAACGAGAAGCAGGTACAGTCACCTGTGCTCTGCTGAAACTATGGGTAAAATTAGATATGTGTCTAGAATTATTTTCTCCTGCGTTATTCCCCCTCTCTCTCGCTCTTTCTCGCGCGGTGAGTCATTTCAACACATTATTCATTTCTGCTGGGTCTCATGCCTTTTTGGTCTAGCACATTTCTTATCACCACTAACACTTTGTCCTATGATAACTTTGCTTTGTTTGACTATATAAATGTACATTTAAAGTAACTTTATCTTTCTCCTTCCCTCCCTCTCTTTCTCTCACTCTCTCTCTCTCACACACACACACACACACACACACACACACACACACACACACACACACACACACACACACACACACACACACACACACACACACACACACACACACACAGGAGCGCCTGCTAATGAGTCTGTTGCCCAGGAACGTAGCTATGGAGATGAAAGAGGATTTCCTGAAGCCCCCAGAAAGGATCTTTCACAAAATCTACATCCAGCGCCATGACAATGTCAGGTAGGATCCTCACAACACAGCTGTAGACCAATCCCAGTGATATTTAAATCCCTCTTGAATTGACTTAATTAATACTAATACTTTTAACAGTGGTGCCTGGAGATACAATATTTTCCTTCATGACGAACGACCCATGAGAATAGGAATAAACGCTGTCTCTGTGAGTTATGGAATGGGCAAATACAGTTGCACTTGCAAGATTGCCCATTCCATAACTCACAGAGACAGCGTTTATTCCTATTCTCATGGGTCGTTCGTCATGAAGGAAAATATTGTATCT